GGTAACAATAAGTAACCGGCTACAGCAAAGGGCCGACAAGGCATAGAGATCCAGCTTTGACTTAATTAGGAAAATGCATATAAAAAAGGACACTTTTATATTTAATACCACGAACAGATCATAAATTACTTGACACCTTCAGAATGCATCAGTCTTTAGACAGCATCCTGACACCTTGATGCAATGCAAAGAGAACTACTGAGGTATTTCATCTTGATTACGTCAAGCATCACACTGGACGACAGGAGAGACATAAAAGTGCATAAGAATTAAACTCATGTCTGCTCCTGCTCTTTAGCAAACATTGGACTTGTTTCATTCCAAAATGATGGTTCCATCCATCAAGTGCCCCTATTCACATTCCTATTATCAGGTAGTACTTTTACCACAATAAGAACATTTGTCTATTTTTCTCACATTTACTTCTTATCTTGCAAGTTATTCAACATGCAAAGAAACAGCCACTACAGTATGTGAAGAAAGGAAGAGACCAAGGGCATGTGGAAGGCAAGAAATCTTTGGATTGGAACATGTCCACCATGTCTACTTGGTGTTTGGTAGAAAGAACAATAAAGTCTATTTTGCAAAAATACACCCATCATCCATATTTTAAAAAAATGAGAATTCCTTTTTTTAAAGATACAACAGTCACAGCAGCAATTTGAATACACTGTCTCTCTTCTGGTCACATGTTTGCCTGTTCACCTGATCTGGTGAAGATCATGTCTAACAACTGGTGATCAGTTTGAGATTCTTCACTTTGTAAACGCTGAGAAGAAAAAAATCTGCATTCACGTCACATGGGGATCAAAAAGTATTGATGTGGAATTATCCACACAGTCAAACATAATAGATGTGTTGCCTTTTGTTACCACGAATGAAAAATTCTGAGGACTTTGCACCTTTTCACATTCAAGATACATGCACATAAGGGAGTGATGCATTTTAATTTATTTTAAACAGCTAATTATTTTCTAAAATGTTACTCACAAACAACCTAAAACTGTGCTTGCATGGAAATTTGGTGGTTGCAATTATTTATGGGTTTAGGATTATGTTCAAATAGATGCATTTTAGATATATGCACACAATTTAAAGACTACTACAAAGTTTGTGTCACATCCATATACTATGAGTGCAACAAAAGGAAAAAGAGCAGCTCTGCATAAAGTCCTTTCTGCACATTTTCAGTCTTTGCCAATTTATACTGTAGCTCTTCCGAAGGAAATACACTGGAAGAATACACCAATGCATATGTCCCAGAAGTACAGGACAGTAAATCGTTAAACACATGTAGTTTAACTTTTTATGTATTATTTTTTGTTTAATGGAAGAATGACCAATCTCCTTTGTTGGGATCCACACAGACTTAAAAAGAGTTACACATGGCCTTTACAGTTAGGAATGTAATCCTCAATGTTTTGCTTAAATATATGCTTGCAGTTTTTGTCGGGAGTAACACATAAATTGGTTTCTAGTTAGGGTGTAAAGATATTACTTAGAGATACAGTGATGCTCTGGAGGTAAAATATTCTTACAGGTCCAGTTAAAACCCAATGGGTTCAATGGTTGAGTCAAAAATGGGTTAGGCAAAAATCTGCATTTCTTTAGTAAAGTTTGTAATGTCAGACTGAAGCCCAGTGAAAACGACAAGAGGTAGCTAATATTACAAAGCCTAGTGCTCTTGTTACAGTTTTTCTGGTAAGCTTGTTAGCCTATGCTTGCTGATATCCAACGAAACATATTTGGGTGAAATATATTACCTCCACCAATGTTTTCACCTGTGTCTGTTAGTATGTTTATCAACAGGAACACAAAAAAATGTAAAAGACCAATTTGCACCACAAATTAGAATGGAGCATAAGCCAAGGAATAATCTACTGAATTTTGGTGCAAATTCAGTTCAAAAGATCAGGAGGATTTTTTTCCCCTAATCCCTTTGCACTATTGACCATTTTTACAAAAATGTGGGAAAACTATGTTTGGTTCTCAATCAGTAAAAAAATCGAACTGGATTGCTCGAACTTGGAAGACGTACTTCTGAGAGCCACTCTAATGAATTAATTAGCAAGCAGACTGATGCTCTACCATCATAAATGCCAGATCAAGTACAGCAGCCATTTATTTTTTGTGCCATTCAATTTTGAATAAATTCTGGTTCTTTCCCCATTTTGGTTGAACTCAAACAATTTTGCCTCCAGAGCTGCTCTGCATCTGCAAAACATTTGCATGACAATAACACTGTGTCAGAGAAAACAACCCAGAAAGAGAGTTCAGTGGTAAGCAATGTCTGTAAGTCATACATCCAGCACCATATCGTAGTGTGTTTCCTTTTTCCTCTTCCCACACTTATTTATGAGCACTGCATACAACGTCAACAGTACGACCCAGTAACTGGCATAAACAACTGCCCCTATGACCAGAATGATCTTTTCTGATTCAGGAAAAGGTTTTTTAGCCTGCAGGATTAATGTGTAGATAATCCCAAAGAAGAGGATAGTGAACCAAACTGATATAGGAATCAGACCAATGAAGTTCGTCACTACAGTTTTCCTCCCAGAAGTCCCCCAGCCAGACTTGTTGATTGTTGCTATTGCAAACATTTTGGCTGGCAACAGGCTTGACATGTACAGTACAGAATAGAACGACATGAACACCATGACAATGTTTCCTCTAAGGCAACTAGCGAATGATGATTTGATCAATGCCACTGCCTGCACAATGAGCAGAAATAACAAAATATTCCACAGCCTTCCTTGATAAAAGAGTTGGATCGCAGTGGCAATGAGAAAAAATGGGAAGAAGCCTGTAATCACAGCCTCATAAGTCATCCATAGATGATGCTTGTGGAACCACATGGAGTTATACAGCCATTCTCTGAAATATGACTTACTCCATCGAGTCTGTTGGTTGAGCCAACGCAAGTACGTTATTGGTGTTTCTGTGAGGCACTTTGATCGAGCTGTGTATTTGGTGGCATACCCAAGGCTCAGAACTCTGTTTGTGAGATGACGGTCATCCCCGAAACTGCAGTGGGATCCCATGAAAGTCTGGTTGTACCAGTCCTCGAGGAACTCATGCAGGAGTGAGTTTCGGTACATTCCTAAAGGCCCGCTGATGCACTGCACACAGCCGAAGTAGGACTGGCAAGCCCGTTCAATGTTAAAGGCCATCCAGTAGCGTACACTACTCAAGAAGGAGATCCATGACTCATATTTGTTCAGGATCTAGATGTGGATTGACAAGCAAGAAACAAGTTGGAGGGTTAACATGATGATGGGAAATGCTCATTTTGTAAAATTTGCAAAGATGTTTTGTAACTAACCTGTACATCTCCTCCAACACCTCCCACCATTGGGTCTTCTTCTAGCACCTTCACCATCTCCACCGATGATGCTGGGTCAAGCATGGTGTCAGAGTCACACACCTAAGCCAGAAAAATAAACAGTGATTTACAGAGTCAAAAATGTTCATGTCACAGTCATGTAAAAAAAGGCACACAGCTTGATTGATAGATGCCTGTTTGATCAGGTTTAAATCTTGTCTCAAGCAAAGTCTCCCCTGCTTGTTTCAGGCAGAGTATAATTCAATGTCAATCTTATTTAAAACTGTAGGATAGTAGTATCCTGTCCTCCATGTCAACAGCCTAACCTGCAAAACCTAATGAAAGCTGCTCTGTCTAATTCATTTCCTGTTGACAAACTGAGATCATGTCAAAGACGAAGACGTTGGTGTCGATCTAAAAGTTGAGTGTAAACTTTGTAAAAAGTCACAACTCAACAAACATGGCGTATCCCTAAGTTACTAATGCTAAGCTAACTTATCTGTATGTTTGAAATTTGAGGGTTTTACATAAGAGTTGGTAAATCTGTTGACATGTTTCCCTTGTAATTAGGTTACAATAATTTAATTTGCTGCAAATAATATATTTTCTTTCATTAAATAAAGGACGACAACATTTCCCTTCACATGTAAATGTACTGGCATGATTCTCAGGAGCACAGCCGTTAGTGCTTTTGAAATCTGTTGAACACAAGGTTTTGGCGGGCTGTAGCTGCTTGCAGGTGTTAGCCTTTTTATCAAAGAGGTTTTTTTATCTTCAAAATCCCCTTTTTGTAATGCAGACTCACTGACATCATCGGGAAATTATAATAAACATTGATAGGGGTTTCTTTTTGCATTTCAATCGCTGCTCAAATTGTATTAATGTAACAGAACCAGCTGTTTACAACAGAACAAATATGATGTGATGACGCATCATGTTTTGGGCAGTTCGACAGAGGTTCTAGTTTACTTCCAGCCAGCTTTGTAAATTGGATGCAGCCTTTTCATTTGAAAATCTTTAAACATTACTACTCAAAGCAGAGTTGAAAAAACACAAATCTGGAGCCATGGGAATTTTGAAATTAGATTGCTTGATATGTTCTAACACGTAACATGAATCCTAAATCTTTCTACCAGTTCTATCTTTTAGTTCTTGTTCAGTCCCCCAGAAAATGATCCAGCCTACAAAGACATGCATTATACAAACAAAGGTTTACAGTTAATTCATGTGCATTTTTTTCACCAAAGGGCAATTATCACACCACTTGGACCTCATTCTTGCAGTGCAGTTTTGTACATAGAAAAAAAACTAATGTCACTATTAAGCACTGATGAGTAGTATCAGGAAGTTGAGTCAAGTCGGAGTCTGCCTTTACTTTGTAGTATTTTTTGCTGAGCAGGGATGTATGCAGCCAAGTGGTAATTACAGGATACTGCTAAATGCTAACATGTTGTCTGACATTAGCACAGACTGAGAAAAATCATAAAATCAGAATGTAATGTCAGTTACACAATAATATCAACTTAATGATGGCGAGCATTAGCCACTATGAGCTACAGGTCATAGATTTAAAGGACACTGTAGCAAAGTGTATGGAAACGAGTAATGTTGTGGTGTACAGGCACAATGTGTTTATTCTTTCAAAAGCTGTAAAGCTTTAATGAAGAATAACTGTGCTCATAGTTTATGACCACAACAGCCCACATTTCCTTTAACGTTTACCACCTGCAGGGTAAAAACACATTTCCTGCAGGATTAAAACACATCAGCTTGTCTTGCAGAGCCTGGCATTGCTGTTTATGTTTGCAGTGCCTGTTTACATTTAAGGCTAAACCACACAATGTTAGCATTATAAGACCATACTCATTAGCCAAACACACTCGGGAGCTGGGTTCTCAAAGGATATCACTTAAGTGTCATTAACAAACACTGAGATTATCGTGGTTTAACTCATTTTCACTGATGGTGGCAATTCACTGAACTCCATACAGCTGAAAGTTAGGTCAGTTATTTTCAATGGCGACTTTATTCCGGACTCAGCAAACAAACTTGTACAATATTTAACTTTCCTCTGACACAGGTTTGACCTCCTGAGCCAGTCATGTAGATGATGTCACACTCAGCTCTGTGAGACAGATCTGCTATTACACTTAGACATCAGCTACTGCTGCCCCTTTTTTCATGCTACACTTCACAACATGATGCATACGCCACCATCCGTCTAAAGCCAACACAAAAGAGTTCTTGTAGACTCCACGTTTGGCTTGGCAGAGACCCCCTTTCCCCTTTTTTCTGAAATCCCCTTCTCCTTCATTTACCTCCATTTTAACTCAAATAAACTCCCTGTCCCTCAGTCTGGATTAAATCCTCTCTTGTGATGTCAACTGTCCTTGTTTTACCTCCTGAGTACATCTACACAGAAAGATACTGACCAACCTCTGAATATTTTACCTATTAATGGTGTCAGATTTAAAGCATTAGCATTCTTAGGTCCTCCCTTCCTTTCATAACCATCTATTTATCTGTCTGTCCGTCTATCCAGCCAACCAAACTGTCATAAACCATTCATTCACTGTCCTAATTTAAAACCCCTCTTTTAAAACCTGTTTCTAATTGACTTAGCCTTACCTGCACATAATCCATGCTCCTCCCCAGTGCTTTGAAGGCTGTGTACATGACCTCTCTCTTCCCTCCCCACTTCTGCATGATGCACACACACTTGTTGTTCAGCACCAGCCTGGAGACTTGCTGAAGGCTCTCAGCGTAGCTCTCATCCGTCTCCTCGGGCCCCCTGTGGTGATAGTTGCTCCGCCATACGTAGGTGGCTGATTTGTCCCATCCCATCACCTCTTTGAAAATCTCCATCATGTAAAAGTCATCGTCTGAGTTCCCGTCAATCACCATGATCACTTTGATCCCCGGGTACGTCAGCCTCTTCACCGACACCAGGCATTTCCTCAGGTAGTTTGGGTCCTCTTGGTACGCTGCGATGCACAATGCCAAGGACTTGTTCAGTTTGATCGGCGTCTCTAGGGAGCGCCGCATGTTCCTGTGTTCTAGGAGCGCAAAGAGGCTCTGGATGATGAGGTGGACAACCAAGATGGCGCCATACAGGCCAAAGGATAGGTGATTGCCGGCTGTGGTGAAAAACTGGTAGCCCATGATGTAGGCTGTGGAGATGCCTACCAGGAGAGACACCCCGAACATGGTGGTGCCAATTATCCGCAGGTAGGTGAGAATTCTTTGACATTTCATCTAGGGACAAAAGAAAAAGGGTTTGATTTAAATATTGTGGTGCAAACAATCTATAATTGTCCTACTGCATTTTACTTGTAAGCCTCACGCCAATGATTGGATGGAAATACTGATGCAGTTTTCTCTGATCATACAATGATTTTAAATCAGAAACTGTGAAAGATAAATTAAAAAGAAAATGAATTGGTCAGAATGATCTCGAGCATCTTACATAAAATTCAACACATTTACAGCATTAGAACATATGAAGGTTTAATAACATTTCAAATATGGAAAATGCTTATTCACAGATCTTGACCTTTCTTTCCTACTGCACATTAACTCTTGTTTTATTACAACAAACTCTGGTAGATAAGCCCTGAAGTTTTTCCTCTTCTTTTTAACTCCCTCCCTCCCCCTCTCCTTCTGTCTACTCCTCCCTCTTTAAATGTCAGACAGTTGTGAGTAGCACATTGTTCCAGCTCTGCTTTAGTGTGGGTGGGCGCACATTACAGGATTCCTTGACCTAATTAACCAAAAAGCTGTCTGCCACAGCAAACACTCACCATAAATGTTTTGGAGGAACAATTATGGCATTCTCTTTTCCGTGGTGTTGTAAAGGCAAAGTTTAGAACATTTTCAGGCAAGTGCAATATAAGAAAGAAAACCTGTGTGTGTTTTAGTGGGGACAGATGAAGAAGTTCTTTCTGAGCGACCCTCTTCCAAACATGGGCCCTGCTGCTCAAGATCTTCTACTGAAAATGTGAAACGTTTGTTTCCAGCCTTCATTATGTTGCTGCCGCCATCTGTTTGGCAGACTAACGGAGACCCACTCAGCATGGCCCAGCTCAACGGAGTGCGGACCACCCTGTGATGTCATCTGTTTATATCTCCGTGGGAAGAAGAAGACAAGAGCCTTTTAGAGTTTATAATGCTGCACGTGTGTTTCTTCCCCTCTGCGACTCCCAGAGAAAGCATGACAGGAGGGTTTGTGTGATTACACAAAGATAAAGATGGGCTGTGAAGAGAGTTTGACGGTATGACATGATGCTGCTCTACACATTATGGAGAACAAGCTTCTTGCATAGCATCAATCAGGAATGTCAAAGTTAATTTTGTTAGTCGTAGGTTCTATGAGGCTCCCTCTTGTGGACATCATGCAACATTTTGTGCTGCATTTTTAAACTTTTTAAATTGCTTTTGGTGCAATTCATTGATTTTGTGCACAATCGGAGTACAATACATTTGAGATTGTAGTACAGTGGATGTCGGTTTTAAGCAAGACAAGTAAATCAGGTGGAGCAATAAAGTAAAAAAAGAAGAGAACATGAAGCCCGGCAGTGTCTGTGATCTGGCAAGAGTAGTGACACCACACCTATGCACACAAGAGAGATGGATGGAGAGAAAGAGAAAAACAAATAATTGTAAAGAAAGTAGAACAGTAAAGAGGGAAAGAGCTACAGAGACAGAACAACATAGAAGAAAGTGTGTAAAAGTGAGCAGAAGACAGGTATCTGTAGAAACAGTGAAGTGAAAAAACACAGCGAGAGACAGAGAGGAAGCACAGAGAGGATGAGCTAACACACACGCACACACACACACACACACACACACCCTTTGGCTGGGACATAATGCCTTGTTCATCTGATCATTGGATGAGAGGGACACAGCCAGTGTAGCAGGCCTCCTCTGGCACGTGGCAAGGCTCTTAACGTCAGCTGCTCATTTACAAGACCCCTGACACACACGAATCCACACACACCCACACTCTCGAATACACTGTATTGCATGAAAATGTATAATGCTAGTGCAGACAAAGAGAGTGAGAGAGAGAGGAGGGCGTGTTTGTGTGTGTCTACAAAAATACACATTTAATTATGTTAAACTGAGAATGCATTCCATCCTAAAACTTCTTTCAGTTGCATGTATGCTTGTGGGTCTATACATACTGTACATATGTTTTATAACTATAGAAGGTGCAGAACAAACTCTGTCACACTGTCTAACCATGGCAACTTAGAATGAACCCAGTCACTCTTTCAGTGCATAAATATTGTACCATGGATGTCCCATCAAAATGTAGTTTTTCTTGTCCGAATCTTAACCCTTAAATCCAAGTACTTAGACAGAAGACAAACCAGTAATGATGTAGTACCCTCCTGACAATTCACCATGATATCATAGGTGTAACATAGACTGAGCTATTCACCTCGACTGGGAGTTTCCGACTCACTTTTTGGACTGTAGGAGGAAAATTTGGACCAAACCACCACACACACATGGAGATCATGCAAACTCCACAGTGTTTGCTGCTTCTTGAATGCTTGTTTATTTATGATCTCTAGCATAAAAAATAGTTTGTGGTTACAGGACAAAACCAAACTGTGAAATTCCTTCAGGTCATGTTCCTCAGACATAAACCCTCCTTTCTCTCTCTCCAGACCAACTGAGAGCTCTGTCAGACACAGTCCATTCTGTGAATTCTTTGATTCAATGCAAAGGAACAGATGTTGACACCTGTTTGGATGCTTTGGTCTCCATACCAACTCATATGACGTTCGTGATTTAATGTGGAGGTCAGACTAACAATTAACTCAGACTGCAGAAAGGTTCACTGCATCAGTATTAAAAAGATCCCCCCAGACTGGCCCTGGCCCCTGAGAGATAACGCCTCTAATCAGTCGAATATCTTCCGTGTCATCGACACATGTGGATGATGTCACCCTGAAGAAGTTTGTATGTGTGTCTACAGATGTTGCTATATGTCATGTGTCCCTGCGACTGGAGGTTGTCATTAGCACATGTGGATGACTTCAGCCCAGCTTCATGTTTGTTTTTATATCTTGACACATGTGAGCATTAAAACCTCATCAATATTTCCTCATGTTTACGTGTGTGTGCGTGTGTTCAGCCTCATGGTGAGTTTGGGTTGGTCTCACTCTGACGTCATTAACGGTCTCTTGAGTAATACTTTGTCTGGCTCTGCTGCAGAGAAAATATTATATCTTGTTCAGTCTTGAAGGGACGATGGTGGGTCAGCAAAGAGGTGAATGAATGATTTGACTTCACTAGCATAACTATCCTCAGGAGAGAATGTGGCTCTTTCTCAAAGTGAAATGCATTACAATGGATTATCTGCTGAGATTTAACAGACTAAACAATGGAGCGATGGATAGATGTGTTGGGGTGGTGGCAGTCTTGATGTTAAGACAGTGTAAACTGCACCATGAAGCATTGCACAAAACCCTCAAACTTCACTGTGAGCTCACCAAAAGATTAAAATTATATTTTTCCATTTGTTGGTACATTAGTATGGAGCAAAACCTCTCTGAATTCACCCATTATGCGTCTTTCATTTGAGTCATACGAGCTATAACCCTGTTAGCTATGATTAGACCTGCTCATACCGTTCTTAATAAACTACAGTCATGTAACTAGTAATATGTTCCAACACAAGTATTATTATAGTCATTTTCAGAAGAATTATTCATATTCTGTGTGAATGAGAAACATTCCAGCCAGTCAGTGAGTATAAATAAGAGATATGGATGCAGGCTCTGTTCAGTCTTTGAAGTCTCACAAAGTTGTATGTTTAATGTATTTCTGTCTCTGCTACATGGAGAACTAAAGGAGTCATCTCTGTCAGACTTAATGTAGCTCTAGTATATAATTATTATATCACTTGCTGTGATATAATGTAATCATGTTATGTAACAGCCTGTAACTATCAGTTCAGTCAGACAACTAGAAACGGTTGTTGCAGCAGCAGAACATAGAGTTTGGCATCTAGACTCTGACTTCATCACTCCCCTAGACATGATTACATTAATACAATGGAGTGATGAGCAAATATCTGTAACACCCCCTGTTGGAGCCTGAGGGGCGGAATCGACAGGCAATGATACTGACGCATGGCAGCAGAGGCACTGATAAGCCAAGGGAGAGATGGGTAATCTTTGCAGCCTAAATAGACCACCACATTGAGTGTGTACGATAGAGGGTTGTGGAGAGTGAGGCACAGCACATTATTACTTTACATTACTTGTCTGTGTAAATGGGAATTCTGTTAAATGCTTCTCCACGTGCGAACACGTGTGCACATGATGTGCAAACATGAACTCTTTGCAAAAGATGTAGAGAATGTGCGTTTGGGCCCACAGGAAGACATGTGTGCACGTGTGAGGGTACGTATAGTGAGTGTGATTACTCGCTACCCCGCACAGGCAGTATATTTAAGTGGGAAGCGGAGCCAAAAAGAACAGCTTTATGAGATAAAGCACAACACTTACATCTTAGTGTTATTGTGACTCAGCAGTCACCGACTGAAAGTGTAATATTCACAAGTCAGGGGCTCTGCATGGCCAAATGACTAATATTCACAAAACAAACTTTAATGTTCCTCCAGCTCACGTGGCGGCTCCCTACTGTGGCTGGAAAATGTTTTTATAAGGGTACAGTACATGCATGAGGAAGGGCTATAACTTCATCAACTAAGTCATATTTATGATACCATCATCAGCTTTATTAGATATAAGACAGCAAAGAATATGACTGTTATTTATAAATTGCTAAAAGCCTTATTGCCAATCCACCAAAGACATAAATAAATTTGATCACAAAGACGTTATTAGAAAACCAGGCATGCTGAGGTCATTCAAACGAAATCTCAAACAAATGATGTTCTGCCAAAAGCAAAAGTACACATGTGAAAATGGAGAAAGCCGGAATCTAAACAAGCATTAGTGTGCATTGTGTGTGTGTGTGTGTGTGTGTGTGTGTGTGTGTGTGCATGCGTGTGTGAGAACAAGCTGGGCAGGACTGGAAAAGGAGAAGATGCATAAAAAAATAAAAAAAAGCCTTGAATGTGAAGATGTCCCTGACGTTTGTAGTGGGGAATGACTCACATGATGAGAGGAGAGGAAAGGAGAAGAGAAGAGAGGAGAGGAGGGGAGGGAGCGGCTGGGAAAGACTGGAGATTTGGCTGCTATCTTAGGCGAGACACACAGGACTGGAAGTGCTGGATCAAGGCCAGCGCGCTCTTATTTTCCACTTCCTTTCCTGCTGCTTTTAGCTCTCTAGCTTACAGTATACATTGATGCATGATGCAAATCTGTTCTTCCCATTATGAAAAATATTCAAATCTTTGTCTGATAAAGGTAAAAAGACACCATGTATGTAATGATGACAACAGGAAACAAAATTGTATCGTCTTCAAAGGCATCACTGGGAAGTGTCAGATCCCGCCCCCCCTCCCATGTGGTCACAGTGTGCTGCTGTTTTCACGTGTGTTGTCGTTATAAGAACCAGAACTGAACAGCAACACCACCCACTGCGCTGCTCCTGACATGATTGGATTCAGGTGGAAAGAGCTGCAAGTAGCAAACGTACAATGTTAAAAAAAGGAGCTGGCTTTTACATTCCCCCTTTTCTTTTTTTCTAACGCACCCCCAGCGGTCTCTTTATTTTCTAGTGAGGTACGATAGGGCGAAAGATTAAGACATCACGGCAGCGTTTTGCATCAACGTCGCCAACAGTTAATGTTGCATCATTTCACAAAGTTTTTCCAAAGTGAAGGTGGATAAGGAAGCTGCGGTTCGTGATTTAATAAAACGCTGAGTTAAATCTATCCTCGGGTTTGAAGGCAAGCTACGCTATTTGGTAGTTTGGCATTTCTTCTCTCGTTGACTCATTTCTAGCTTCTTTTTTTTGTGAATGAGTAGAAGGAAGCGACGCATAGAGTGGGTGTGACAGAAAGCAGGAGACACAAAGAGGGAGCCAAGGAGGATGACAGTATTCGACGAGAAACGTGAGAATGTGGATTGGAAGGATACAAGCTAGCGAGAGAGGAGGGATGGCAGGTACCAAAGAGGGGAAGGGGGGGAGCGAGACTCGATGCATTGTGGTGGACTTGGCTCGGTCCGCCGCCAGCTGAGGCACTGGAGTTACACCACTGTGGCAGGCTCCAGAACTTTCAGCCAAATTACAGCCGCAGCTCAGCTGAGAGATTGTGCCTCAGCAGCTTTCCTCCTATTCATCTGCTCTTGTGCCATATGCAGCATGTACACAGTACGTGTCTGTGAGATGTATGTTTTATTTCAGAGTCCTAAATTAAAATCCTTCCCTTTTCACAGATCCAGCCTGTGTCATCCATTGATCCAACACTTTTCCCTTCTGACAGCAGGCTTGTATCACCAGTGCTCTAAAATAACTGGCTTCCTCAGTGCTCTATTCATAGCACTCAGGCCTGAGAGATAACACGAGATGGAGAATCACAATCAGCCTCAATGGATGGATGAAAAGACGTGTGGTTGACTGTCATTCAGAGTTTAATTTTGGACCGTTGGAGATGTCCCAGCATTGGTAATATCAGCAATTTCAGAAAAAAATGTAAAGTCAGGGAGTCGTCTTCTTTGCAGCTACTTAAAATTTATTGTTTTCAGCTCCTGGGTCGCTCTCCAGTGTGCTGTAACTCTTGGACTCATGCATTAGCATTGGCATCACTCTTCCCTGCGAGACTCTGTCTGACTCAGTATGAGGTAGGCTACAGGGATTCCAAGTTTTCCCTTTTACTGGCTGACTATACAGCGCCGCTCCACTGCTACTTTACCAAGCAAACCTGGAAAAACAAAAAAAACCCCGGCTGACGAGATGAGGTAGATGGTGGGGTTGTGTGTTAGGGAGGGGCTGCACATATGTACGCTCTCGTGTAACTTGAAGTAGGTTATACCCTGGCAGCCCAAAGGCCCTGTTACGCTGTTGGACCCATGCTGTGAGCTGTAATGGCACGTGAGACTGTTGGGAGCACTAATGGAGACCAGTCGTGGAATGCCTTCCTCTGTTTAAGTTGCAAACTGCTCTGTGTGCCGTGTGGAGGAACATCCTGTGGCACTGATAAGTCTGCAGTATAACTGTGTCATGAGTGAGGAGTCCACACAAAGTTGTGTTTCAACCTTTTTTTTTTCTTTTCCTGTCACCTTCATGGAATTTACTGTACATCATAAACTTCATAATGCTCCATATTCCACTAACAGGCTCCAGAGGTGGATTTACTTCCAGACCTACTGTACGACTACACACTAAGCCCTACTGAGCAGAGGAACTCCCTGGAGGTTCAAGATTAGGAACTGTATGTTTGTATGAGTTTGTGTATATTCAGGCAGCAGGTCCACACATGTAGGGATTATGCAAAGAACATGTGGTGTACATTTCTCATCTGAATTCTACAGATGCACTGTAAACTACATACGATTTATATGCTACCATTGATTCTGGAGCACATGCTTCATCACATCATTGAGGTGGACACTGACATGGCTGCAGCTTGTTCCAGTGAGTGTTAAAATGCAAGATGAAAAGATTAGCCAGAGGATGCATTGGATAAAAACTCTACTGTACATCGCAGATAACTGCCAAGACAGCTTAGACATCCAACCCCTGTGTGGGTTTCACATGAGGCATCAGATGGTATCTCCAAACTGAGGGGTGAGAGTGGGCGGATGGAGGAAGACAGTTTGTTAACGCTGTGTGACGGATGCTCATTTGCATTTGTGTGTGAGTGTGTGGTGGGTGTGTGAGGAAGTTAGATGAGAAGTTAGTGCTGTAGGTGCCTTGTGCAGCTGCCTTAAGCTTTCAGTTATGTTTGTGCATCTGCACTTTTAATATCATAGTAATTCTTTGAGGGATTGAATTAACATTTTACATGTCACTATCTCTACACTATCAGTAATTACATTGTCAATAACTAACGTCTAATACATCAGGGCTATTCAGCATTCACGTGTGCGCAGATAGAGGTGTTTCCCATTTCACATCAAATTACGCGCTCTGACCAGGAGGCATGCGAAACGTGGCCAATTCCAGCCTTCTCATTGGCTCACACAACCAAAATAGTGACGTATGCCTCGGGACGTCATGCATATAGTTTCTTCTCAGTTTATAATCATATATTATAATATATGATATAATATATGATTATAATATAATCTGGACAAAGTGTTTCTTAGGTTTTCACAGAGGGCACAGCAGGAGCAAATGTCCGTGCCAGTCAGGGGAAAAACTGTTGATACACATTTTTGTCTAAGATTAAATATGTTACCATATTAAATAAGTACATCTAACACATATAGAGAAAACAAGTTTCAACTTTAAAACTTTTCGGAGATGCCATCCGCGCTTTACGCACGACTTGAGAATGCTCCAGTGACAGCTGTAGCGCGCAGCATCACTCCCTTCACTGCGCTCAAGTATTGTTCAGCATCCCTGTGATTTAAAATCATGGAATGGAATGAAATTACACTTTGGGGCATCTACGTGCCCCAAAGTGTAATTTCAAACGGACTTCTGCGTCATTCTGTTCGACACTGACTGAGGAATGATCCACAAACCAGTCACCTCACCAAACGATCACCGGCCGCCTACCTTGAAGCAGCTGTCGTCCTCTTCGTTCGTCCTTGGGGAAAGGATGCGGTCAGCTCCGGGACGGGAGAAAAAGTCTTGACAAAGTTTCAAGAGACACTTGAGGAGTAGTGAGTCTCATGAATCCACTCACAAAACGATCCTCATTCATTTAAAAAAAAAAGCAACGATGATGAGAAAGGTGCGCGCTCAGAGAAAAAAAAAGAATCAGCACCGCTCGTCTTTAGTTTGTCAGAGTCTGTCTGCGGTCAAACACTCTGCAAAACATGCATCTTAGGTGTACACACACAAACATCACCTCAGTCATCTTTGGCATCTTTCATGTAAAAGAGTATAAATAAAAAGAAGAGGATAAATATTCTTCTCCATCAACTTCTGGCACTTTGATTCATATTGAAAAGTTTCAAAAAGTTACAAAAAAGAAGTGACCATCTTTAGCAGCGTCTGTCATATTCAAAACGAAATAAAATTAAAAAAAGGTTTCCAGCAATGACACACCACGTGTATGTTTCTTTGCTCTGCAGAGGGGCATCTAAAGTATTTCTGCAGTTTCCCCAGGCAACCAAGTTTCACAGAGCGCAGAGAAGTGGCCAATGTGCCGCTGTTTCAGCTGTCTAGTTCCTTCCAGACGACTGTGTGTGTCTGTGTGCGTGTGTGCGTGTGTGTGGAGTCTCCTTTATGGCTGCTGTGACTCCCAAACCCCTTTTACCAGGCAACAACAGATTGGCGTGTTGTTTTAATAAGAGGGGAAGGTTTTGGGGGTATGAGGAGGAGCGAAAGAGAGAGAGAGAGAGAGAGAGAAAGAGAGAGAGAGTCACTCATCCAAAGTCATTTAAACTCTGGAGGTGGCTAAAGAGAGAGAGAGAGAGAGAGAGACCATTACATTGGCTGCTCATGCTCCCCATTCATACCTTAGAGCAGAGCAGGGTTATAACTTTTCCCTCAGAGGCTGTTAAATCCATACATTTTGTCTCTAATTACCCACATACACACACTTACATACAGCTCCAACAGCTCACTCCATCCCTGAGCTTTAAATTAAGCCTGTGTATATTACTTGGCACTAAAAAGTGATGACTTTGCCAAGAAAGAAAAATGACACATAAAGAACATTTTGGATGAATAACCATGCAAACAGTCTTACGTATGAGAAGTGCTCATATGCACGTGGGAGCTTGGAGTTTGGATGTTGTGGAATTTCAGTCATTTCATTGATTCACCAGGGTGCACTTCCACACTCTGGCCAGCAGGCAGTGCTGTGCAATGCAGAACCTGGATTCTGGGGTCTGACATGTACAGTAGCTCCTTTGATAGGAGACCTAAAGGGAATATCCAGCAAAAATCAGGAGTCATGTTACTCCCCCTCCACCTACGACTATATGAGTCAGTGGTTATCAGGAGCTTCTCCACAATGCCTGGGAAACAGGACAGTTGGGAAACTAATGTTTTTTGTACCTCGTCACTGTCCAGAGAGCCACGTAGCTCCAAATGTTGTGGTTTCGAGTTTTTAGATATTTTCTGTGGACTGAACTACTTGTAACTGTACTGTCACAAAGCAGGAAATTGCTGATCTTTCTGGTAGAATAGAGTAGAATAAAAAGCCTGCCATTGGATTACAGGCTCTTCTTCTACAAAACGGTGCAAATTTATAAAAACAAGTTTAAAATCCAGGCTCATATAGAGAGGCTGTCATTCTACAGCAATACATCCACATCTGCTCATTTCTGGATCCTCTCTGGATTCTTCTATCTATGCTATCTGTGCTTAATGCTCGAGATAAGATGAGACAGTCTCCAGTGACAGCTGCATGCTCCCCCAACTTACAGCATCATTTCCTTCACAGGGCCACAATACTGAACAGCATCAATAATATTGAAAATGATGAAATAAACCTGATTCAGCATTATACCTACATGTTTTGAAACAAGAGTTTGGGGCATCAGCATGTCCGCAAATATAATTTAAATGTGACTAATTAGTTTCCAAACCATTTTTGCATAGTTATGTTTGGTTTGATCATTTATCTGTGTTTTTATTCTGTAAGCTGTGCTCAAGAACCATGAGGCATATTAATGTCGTAGTTAAGCTTCATTTATTTAGCATTTCTAATCAGTATTTCTTTCTCCCCACACAGAAACATGCAAATTACAGGATTCAAAAGTATGATGAAAATATCAGCAAGTAGATCTTTGATTTTTTAAATGTTAGTGAAATCAAGCCCCATTTTAATACAATTTATAATTTCAGCAATATAGCTTCAGGATATTCTGTATATAATTTTATTTAAAAAAAAGTCCCAGTGGTCATTTGTGGTTTTGCAATGAAAAATCTCCCCCTCTCCCCGAAAAGCATTTTCCAAAATAGGCCATTGTGAAAGAGACATGTGTTGATTGCTAAACCTCAGACTGCAAACAGTATTTAAGTCTGTCTATCAAAACTTGGAGGTTGTATATTTGTAACATTTTCCCACGGGTTAGGAAAGTTTCATATGTTTTGATGTCACCCTGATGTAATGTCTTGTCGGCTGAGTGTGGGTGGGGTCAGCAGTGAAACTTATCTGCAAAATCATTGGGCCACACAGTAGGGAAGAAGTTCCAGAAGCTAGAAAACTTATGGTGCTGATGTGCCAGACAAGCATCTTTCATTTAAGTGAGGAGGCGCCATCTTAAATTAACTTACTTCAATACATCTTGCACTAGGCTGAAGCCTTGTTGTGAAAAGAGTAGTGGAGCAGTATCAAGTTTGTGTTTATTGATTTACTGCTGTAAGTTTTTGACCTAATGATCATGGTTTATGAACACAGCCTGTTAAATGATTCATTCAAGTTTTTCCTGTCTGGATCGAGGGTCTGAAGATAGAGGGTTTCATATGTTAAGCGCTTTGTTATTCATAATTTTAGGCTATAAAACAATTGGTTTGAGATCGGCATAAAACAAAAGGCATGGCTCTGAACAATATCATATTTTCAAAAAAACAAACCTCAGACGATGAGCATTGTTTTTATGAAACATCTCATTCTGAACATGAGCCAGGGCGATGAATGGAAATGGGGCCCGTGGTAGGGAACCCCCAGTAGAGCTGCATTGTTTATGTATGGTGCAGTAAAAATATACAGTTTCCAACTTGCAGTGGGTCGATCCCCAGCTGTGGCAGCCAGTGTGCGACATTATTGTCACAGGGCCCATACATTGTTTGCTACCAGACGAGTCCCATATATTCTTTGTTTTGTTTTTCTCTTTTGAACAAGCTCATTTACTCTGCTATTTATTTAAACAAGGAAATACACAATTACTTGCAGACCTAAAGGCTTCTTGGACGTGGCTGTAGAGTTAACACAGTGTAGAACAGAGAGGCCACTGGTATCACGGGAACCTGTCAAAATGAGGGTCTTTCTATATCATGATAACACCCAGAGACGAGTGATTTATTATAAACTGTGCTTATAGCATCCTCTGCAAAGCATTCTAATCTATTTTTTTTTTGCTTTCAGGATCAAGAAACAGTGGAAATCTCTCATCAATAGTTCACGTTATATTAGATAACTTGTCTAACTTGCATCTTCATCATTTATAGTTTCAGAATCAGCAGGACAAAACAGAAAGGGCTTCTGGGAGAAAATGGGAACATCTGATTGTCAGGTCACTGTCAATGTCATTATGCAGCAATAACCTTCAGACACTGCAGAATAACAATTACAACTAACAGTTGTCCCTTCATTGAAAATATGTTTAATTTATATCCATGCACGATACCACACAAAAAACACACATTCTATGTTCTATGTTCTGTGTCTCCCACTGTGAGACTCTACAGGCAGGAAACAGCAGCAGAGCCGAGGGGAATATAGCAATTATCCTGGGAGGTAATGTTAGCTGTGGGCCTGTGTTCACCAAACACGTCACACTGTCAATCTACAGTTTGTTTTACTGCAGCCTGAGATTGAACACACTGATGCAACAGCCCCTCCACCGAAGTGCAGAAGCTCCTGGGTAAAAAGAATAACATCTAGTGTATTGAAATCAGCTGAGGAAAAATCTCTTAGGGGCCAGGGATGAATGAGTGATGCTCTTCTGGACGGGGCATTTCCACTGATGGTGAAATTTGCTGTCGTTCTCATGTTGAAACATATAACAAATGTTAGGGGCGGCTGTGGCTGAGGGGTAGAGCGGTCGTCCTCCAACCAGAAGGTCCCATGTGCATGCCGAAGTGTCCTTGGGCAAGATGCTGAACCCTGACTTGCCCCTTGTAGAACAAAAACAAGTGCTGCTAATAGATGCACTGTACTGGTCATCAAGACTAGAAAAGAAACCATTTATCATTTAGCATACCTATAAATGACTCACAGTGTAGAAAGCAGAGTGGAAACAGGGGTCGGCGATGACATCAGTGCATGGCATGGCCGAGGTGCTGCTCCACAGACCACAGATAAATACATTCACATGTTTCCAGCTGTCTTTGTCAGTGTGGTCCTGCTCCTTCATGTGTTCAGATGAAAAGGTTGCAGGTGTGTTGAGGTGTTGAAAACACTGTAGTCAACTGTCGCTGTTCTTACATTCACTATTTTGTGCGGGTGTGTGTGTCTGTTTGAAGTTGTCGCATCCCTCATCAGTTTTTTTGCTAACGTAGCATTTCAAGGGACCGACATGCGCAGACCCCTGTTTTTATTTCAATCCGGATCCTTCATTCTCCCTTTGATTACTTTTCACACACTCTCAGTCGCAACGTATGGTGTTCAGCTGTAACAGCTGACTCAATATGTGAAGAAGAGTGTTTTTTATTAAATCATCCATCACATTATCTATACCACTCAATTCTTTGAAGGTCACAAGGGGAGGTGGAGCCAATCCCAGCTGACATATTGCGAGAGGCGGGGTCCATCTTGGGCAGGTCACCAGCAAATCACAGGGCCGACATACAGAGACAACCACTATTCACATTCACACCTATGGTCAGTTTAGAGTTTCCAATTAGTCTGAATCCAATCTGCATGTCTTTGTGGGAGGAAGCAAGAGTACCTGGAGAAAACCCACATAGACACAGTGAGACATGCAAACTCCACACGGGTAAACACTGGCCAAACCGGGATTCAAACTGTCAACCACTGCCCCATCTTGCCACCCCTTGATGAAATCACAATTTCTAATTAGTCAAGCTATTCTAGAAATATCCACTTGACTACAACTACCGCTGTTAAGTTGGTTACTTCATTTCTCTCGCTGTCGCCATGATTTCTTTTAGAACTGCTGATATAAAAGCGATATAAACAGAGCCATTTTCCTCCATAATGTGTATCCACCAAAATGAATTTGTTTGTTGTGATTACACAGTTTTATATTGTGCTTGTTTTATGGGTGGAACAAATTATATTATTAGATTTATTGTAGGGGACGTGTGAGCTTTGGTGTTAAAATGTGGTTGGGTTTAAACTGGGTCAGTTATTTTAAAAAAGGGCTCCATGTTCATGTGTGTCGTCCGGGTGTAGTTAAGTGGACGGGTGGCGCGAATCCGATCTGAGCGTTCTGTAACCGCAGTCGCAAATCAGCGGCGTCTCGAGACGTGGTTTTAGGGCGTGAAGTGCAGTTTTTATACAGCTCAATCAGAAAGCCACCTGAAACACGCCGCTGACTGGATGTTGACATCAGGTCTTGTGGTTGGTGGGATTATGTCAGAG